GCCATTAAAACTTTATGTATCATCAATACATTAAACATGCATACCATTAATATTACATCGATCAAACTCCACTGCTGAACAACTTTTTATTTAACTGTTATCGGAAATATGCTACTGCCTATCCCCTGATTCAGCTTATATCTGTCGCCTCACACGACTCCCTTAGAATGATATGGGATAATGGATATTTTTACACGTGCATAATATATAGTTAAAGAAATTGCCAATAACCTCAAAGTAAACCAAGAAGTCGAAAAAAATTCAATGTTTCTAATCTTTGACTTTGTAAACTGCTGTAACATTTAACCAAATTATTTCTATTCCTTTCTTTCTAAAATATATTACGTAGATTCTTTTCTTATAATTTCATGTACGTAGTATTTTTCCCTTTTTCAATATTACAGTACATTTTTATTCTTCCGACCCGAGGTTAAGAGTTTGAGCACTTAGTCTGTAATCTATTTTAAAAGTTTTAAACACGTATATTTTTCTCTCTGATAAACCCAACACTAGATGGCATTGCTCGTTTTATAGTCCGTTTGTACAGCAAGCTGTAATGGAGGAGGACAATATTGACGGACCATTAATTCGACAGGAAATTGTGCTGAAGCCGCGATTGAGGCAGGTAATTGTGAACTTTTCAAATTAGCAGCGTGCTGCACGGTTGTTTCTACTTCAAATATACATTACTGGAAAATAAGTCTGGCTATTTTTGGTTTAAAACGATACGAGTATATGGTGTGTGGAATAGATGATACAGAGTGAATAATATTTAATATTATGTGATATATTATGAGCTTAGCTGTGTTACCATTACTTCGCTCGTGGGTATTCTAAGCTATCAGTCAAATGATGACAAAATCTTATTAAATGTATAGATTTTAAATAGCCAGACGGATAACGGAGAAAGTTATCTAAGCTGTCATAGTTACTGTGATTGCTGCGAATTTTTATAGAAGAGGGGGCAAACGTGTATGCAGCTCACCTTATGGTAAGCGACTACCGCCGCCCATGATCAACCGCAACACACAACCGTGTTGCCGGCCTCTTAGAAAGGCTAAGCTATTTTCTTGAAGGTCCCTAAGTCGTATCAGCCTAGGAAAATTGCCGGTGGTAAACAATTCCACAGAGAAGTTGTACGAGGAAGAAAACTCCTAGTAAAACGCATAGTGGTGAACCGCCAAGCAGATGGTGAGGATGGTATCGCGAATTTTGACGCGATGTGCGTTCGTGAAATTTGACGGCTGGATGTAATCCGAACAATTCCTCATAGCACTCCCCGTTGTAGATGCGATAGAAAACGCAAAAGGGTGCATCATCCCTACGCAGCGTCAGTAAATCCGATCCGATCCGAGCCGATCAGAAAGAACTCGGTCGTCAACGATTTGAACCGCTCTGCGCTGGATGCGGCCAAGTGGAAAGAGCTGGAAGTAGAAAGAGCTGGCGCTGGGGTGGCCCGGCCCAAAGATGAGGACAGTTTTCCCAGTGAGACCGAAGCGCTCTAATAAAGGCCAATAACTCTACTTTAAAATACATTTAACAGCTATCAAGTTCTCCATGGCGGTTTCGAGCGCATCTTTTACTCTCAATAGCATAAGATGTTTATACGTTACGTACGGTTTTACTTGACCTTATTTTCCATATTTAAGGTAACACTTATTTATGAATCAGGATCCACTGTTTGACTTCTCCTCAAGAGTCTGCGGAATCAGACAAATTTGAAAGATGAAAATGAAAAACGAAAAATTGTTTATTTTTTTAGAAAGAGCATACGTTACGTAGGTATGGAAGTAAGTGGGACATCCTTTTATGTACCTACTTAAATATATATGTACTTGTAGCAGGATGCTCCGCTCTCTTAAAGCGAGTAAACATAAAATTAATTTAAAAAAAAGTAAAAGAAATTAAGCTTATATTTATTTAATGAGGATTTTGTGTAACTGTGAGAGTTCATATTATGTGTGCGTGCGTGCGTTGCGTTTATGAGTGAGTGTGTGTGTGTGTGTGTGTGTGTGTGTGTGTGTGTGTGTGTGTGTGTGTGTGTGTGTGTGGGGGGGGGGGGGGGGGGGTGTGAGTGTGGGGGGGGGGTGGTGGGTTGGGGGGTGTGGTGTGTGTGTGTGTGTGTGTGTGTGTGTGTGTGTGTGTGTGTGTGTGTGTGTGTGTGTGTGTGTGTGTGCGTGTGTGTGTGTGTGTGTGCGCGTGTGTGTGTGTGTGTGTGTGTGAGTGTGTATGTGTGTGAGAAATTTATTTAAAAACTTTTAATAATGCCTCGCAAATGATCCCAATTCTTAAGTACCAATACACAGCCCTCACAATATTAATGCTAATCCTTATCCCCAATTATAGGATTAGGTTTTGGAATTATGTGAATACTTTCATATTATACATAATATGTGTATGTTATACTCTATATTGTGTGCATACATTATGAATATTATACATATAATAAAAGGGTATATCATACATATCATATCATAGAGCAGCGTAATTTACAATTTATTTTACGTTATTTATAGTAGAAGTTATTTTTTGTTACAAATAAAGTTTGCATTTATTGTGATACATATTATAAGTAAATAAAAAAGACAGAAAAAGGATCCCTTTGGCGTCAGATGGACATATTCTTTTAATTAAGCCACGCGGAAAGCGTCGTAACTTTTACGAGAGCCGTGATTTAAGTATTATTTGTCGTGAATTTTATGTGGTGATAAAGTAAATATTGATTATTACGTATAAAATATTGCGTTCAAGGAAAATCAAAGCCAGGATATACTATAATGTAACAAATAATGTTCGGTTGTTTTACTAGGTAGCAAAATTATGTAATTCACACAAATATTGTTATATTGGATCATGTGACTGAACAAATTTAAATAAATTTAGAAGTCAGAAATTATTTTATATTAAAGTTTTTTATTATCTTAGTATTAATGATATATTTCTACTATAGTACCTTTAGCGCCATCTTGTGTTCAATAGCGAACTATAATGTGAAGTAGATGTAAACGTCGAGAATCTAGTTAAGTTACCGCTCGATAGATGGCACTACTAGTAAGCTATTATCTACATGTGTATCATCTTTTATTGTTACGTGATTATTTTTCTATATAGTTGTTAGATGGCACTCTTAAAAAGTCCGACGATATTCGAATCTGCTAATAATTTATTGATTGTAGTAATAAGACCTATAAGCAATATATTTTATTGTTAAAATAACAACTTTGATATAACTTAAATTTATACTTAATCTTTATACATAAAAATTAAATGCCACATTTCACGATGAACTCTGAAACCACTCAACCTGAAATTTTGTAAATGTGTATTGCTTGCCTCAATTTGAGAGTTTTTATGCAGATATGTTACCCTCAATAATGTTTATTGTGAATTTAAAGATTTTTTAAAGAACCAAGATTTGTCGGCAAGGACAGAACAAAGTCTACCTGTTCAGCTAGTAGTATACTATAATATATATATATATATATAAACCCAGAACAATCTTGCATTGCTATCTATTTGTTGGTGAAGTTTCATCAAAATTCATAACAGCCCTGGCAGGCGAACGGACAGACAGATAAACATTTTTTTAATGGGTTTTTATGTCTAATAACATTCAACACCCATGAGTTTAACAGAAACCTGTTTTTCTCTCGATATTACAGAAATACACCGTAATTTTATTTAAAGGTGTATGCATGTAAAGTAGAAGTCCGATAATCCGGTATGTTCGGGACCGGCTCGTTGCCGGACTACCGAAAATTGTCGGCGGTCATTATAAGAATAATTAGGTTAATAATTAAACTACAAATACAGTATGCAAATATGTATGTATGTACATAAACTAGTACTAGCCTTTTTACTAGCCAGTTTTGGTGAAAACCGAAAAATAAAGAGCGATGCCGGACTATCGGGCATTCCGGACTGTTGGATGCCGGGCTAATGGACTTCTAGTGTATATATATGTATAAATGGCCGCGTAAGAATATCCACTAGCCAATATCAATATCGTAAGAGGCCACGAGAGAAAAAAACCGCTAACTTTAGCGGTCAGCCGCCGTAGAGTCTACATCACCTGAGGATACCTCGTGTAGAGGCGAAACACGTGTCGTATTATCGTCGATGGTGTGTCTTACCTGGAATAGTGGTGTTGGAAGTAGTGGTGGCGCGAGTAGTGGTGTTGGGAGTAGTGGTGTTGGGAGTAGTGGTGCTGGGACTAGTGGTGACGGAGTTAGTGCATGCAATTGAGGGAGGGCGGGAGGTGCTCTTCAATCCAGGTAAGACACATCATTGTATTTAGTTAGCGGAAGGTTGCGAAGTAATTAATATTTTTATTAAGAAACAATCATTCAAATCGCTTCACATTGACGAAGATCGCGAAACATTAGATAAAAAAATACGAGAAAAAAAAAAACATTTTTTTTAAATAGGATAGGGTGACAAACGAGCACTGAAACCTGATGGTAAGTGGTTGCTGCGGCCCATAGACATCTACATCTATCCTCGATTTGAATCAAAATGCAGTCACCCATGAGAACTAAAATGGAATGCCTCGTTTCCAGTAAAAAGGGTTACCGGTTCTCTACACTCACTATACGAAACACAGCAGCATTAAGCTACTATTTCACGCTGGTATTCTGTGAGAGCGTCGTATTTCCCCGGTCAAGCCGACCCATACGTGCTACAACTATACTACTACGTATAAATATAACTGCAGCATGGCTCTACCATGTATAATCCAGTGGAATTGTTAATCTCTTCCTTTTTTTACACAGCTAAAATGAAACAGAATATCTTCCAGGTAACAATAAAAAATACTGCACACCCTGGTTGCCAAGCGTGGCTACTTTGGCTAAACCCCATATGAGGCCAATCTATAGGGGAGACTTTTGTTCGGTAGCAGCATTTGATAGGCTGAAATTTAATAAATGAAAAAAAAGTAAGATTGTGCGTACCTCCATGTTAAATTGGTGTATTTCCACTTTTCGCCCTGCACCGCAAACCTCTTCTTTCTTTTGCCATTTTCAAAATCGCCTTCTTCCCTGTCTGGGCGACCGCAGCGTCTTTTCTTAATTAGTTCTTTTGTTGCTTCGTCGATTTCACCCGTAACAGGGATACCTCCAAATTCCTTGTAAGAAAAAAGAAAAATATTAAGTAAGGAAATATTTTTCATTAAATTTAAATATAATACATTATAAAAACTAAACTCTTCTGGAGAGTATAATTATTTTATATTTCCGCATATAGGTAGGTAATACACAGTATTGACTGCCTCGTTGGTCTAGTGATTGTAGTAGTACGACTACTGATCATGAGGTCTTGGGTTCGAATCCCGGGTCGGGCCAAAAATCAATTATTGAGTTTTTTCTGTCAAGAAATTATCAGTAGCTGCCCGGAGTCAGGAAATTGGCGGCGTTTCACCCCCATGCCTCGGAAAGCACGTAAAGCCGTTGGTCCTGCGCTAGATCTCTCTCCGGTCGTGTCGGTTTACCGTCCCATCGGATTATGAGAGTGAGGGAGTAGAGAGTGCACCTGTGCTTGCGCATACACTTGGGCACTTTAATCCTGTCCTGCGCCGATGGCTAGCCTCCGTTGAGGCAGGCCGCCGTGGCCGAAATTCGGTCTGGAGGACATTATTAATAGACAGTAGTTATAAACTAATTTTGCGGATTATATAGTGTTTTATTTTAACATATTAATATTATTGTGATATTATAAGTTCTAAGAATGGAATAATTTTTTTTACGTTACCGTTACATACATAACATAGGGAACATAGGTCCCCCCATATTTTTAAAAGGAATATTAACAATGCTATAAACATTACTAATATTCCCCTTAACCACTCGTGGTAAGCTTAAATTGCTTGCGTTACGATTGGTTCACGCCAGTAGTCGAATGGTGGATTCGAACCCACGACCTTTTTGAGTTCGCGGTCCGCGCCCTGCCATTAGGCTACTGTCGTTGTCTCATAGGAGTGTATTTGCCATAGTTGCCACGCTTAGCTAGCAGATTAGCCAGCGCAGTTGTATTTTTTACTTTTAGTAGTTATTAGTTTAGAAGACGTTGCTGTCCATATCCTAATTTGTTCCCCTCCGTCGCCTCTTACGGCACTTACGGGATGATATGGGGTAGTGGATATTCGTACACCGCCACTACACGGTATTTTATGTGGCTTAAAATAATTATTATGATCCAAAATATTTTTAGCTTAACCTGAATGTGTGCGTATGTACGCATTCAATAATATAATGGAATTATATAGTTTTCCACTTCCGGACGTCTGAAAATATCTGAAATTTTGCAGACGTAGGAACTAATGACAATACAATGATATCAATTCAATCAATGCGGTCTGTTTTAGTTTTACTCTAATATTAATTAATTAATAGTGTACGATTATATATTTATACATTAAAGTAACATCCGACTTACAGGCCACAACGTTATTTGGTCTCTGGGAGCCCTTTTGAACAGCTAGCTAGGAAGAGACAAACGCTTAAAGGTGGATGTTGCCATGTCTTGGAAAAATTGTATTATTAATTTCTCTGATATGTAGGTTTTCTCATCATATTTTCAGTTTTACATCCGTCACGGCCTATAAAAGCCCACTGCTGAAAATAAGCCTTCCCCATAGACAGCCTCATAGGGAGGATTTTACCATAGTTGTGACACTTGGGAGGTTTGGAAACTGCAGTTTTAATATAAGTAATTTTTAATATAGGAATAGGAAGATGCTGAAGATGCATCTCTTGTTTTAGTTTATATTTAAAATAGCCTTAGTTTTATATAATTTTAAAACTAGGTGATTCACATACGCTGTATATTTTGCCTACTTAATTCTAGTATAGTGTTGATATCAAGGTAAATACATCGCATACGGTATTAGTAAAATATAACGCTTCTTGTGAAAAGTAAAGTTGTAAAGCGAATGAGTTATCATTTAACAAACCAACCTGCAGGGTCTTGACAGCAATCCTGAATTCGTCTTCGTATGATTGTGCAACGTCGCCCATCAAAAGGTTTCCAACTTCAGGCTGACCTTTCTTTAGGTAACCAAAGGTCTCAAGGTAACTTCTCTGGAAGAAAAAGAAAAACTTGTTTAGTACATGAAATATTTTACCAATTTGTGTTTACAATGATTTAATTACAATAAATAATTAACAACGGGGTGGAGACCCACAGGCATTTGTTGTCAGTAGACATGTGTCATTCATTCATTCCTGCTAACCCAATCGTTCGAATATTGATTCGTCTTACAAACCAGGTCATTCGAGTCGATCATTCAAATAGATCATTTAGAGTACTCTGTGATCTGTGAGACCCGCTCGATAATGTCAGTTCGACATTACTATAATCTTTGGTCCTGTCAATTGTTTGATCCGGAATGTTCAAAAAATGTAATAGCAATTATCAGTTCAGTTATCATTTACGATTGACACATATCTAGTTGTCGGTTGTCAGATATACAGGTTTGATACAATTACCAGGCATGTTCCCAAAAAGACATCCAGTATTATACCTATAGGCTGGTTACTGTGCTCCTATGCCTGAGTCTGACAAAATTAGTTTTAACTCACCAGTCAACAGTTGGCTTCTAAGCACGCTTCTTTACGTTCAAAGTTAAGAAGTTGTACTTTCTATCATAGGTCTAAATGTGACAACGGCCCACCTTCGACCGGATTTGTATTTGACGGGTATATAAGTTTAGAAGCTGTTCTTGAGGAGATATTTAAAGAATATATAAAATATAATTATTTTTATTTTTATATTTATATACAAAAAAAATTAAAAATTGCGTCGCATATTTAAAGCAACGTACACGTAAATACGGATTAGTAAGCTGAAGTGGCAATAGGCCTGCCGTATAGCTCGAAGAACCGACAACCGATGGGGAAGGAAAATTCTTGAGTGGCGGCCCCGTACCGGTATACGAAGTGTAGGGCGTCCCCCCACTAGATGGAGTGACGAACTGATAAAACATCCAGGAAGCCGATGGATGCAGTTGATTTTGTACCGTGCTTAGTGGCATTCCTTGAGGGAGACCTATGTTCAGCTGTGTGCTTGTCAACTTGTAAGGCCTGTAACGATCCTGTAATGATGTATCGCGTAAGTACGTTTTGATACGTGATGGAGCCACGCTGCAGCTATATTATGACTTTAATAAGAATGACTCGGCTCGACCGGGGAAGGCCTACGCTCTGGCAGTTCAATGCTACAGAGTACGGTAAATATAGAGAATTGGAGACTCTTTTTAACTGTAATCTCATCTGCATTTTAATTTTTAATCGAGGATATATGTAGATGACCATGGTTCACAGCATCCATTTACCATCAGGTGGACTGTGCTCGTTTATCATACTTATTCTAAAAAAAGTAAAGTAATTAAATATATAATTTTTTATATCATAGGGGCAATTATATTTTGAGATATTATTTATTGTATTATTTATACATATATTAAAACAGTAACTGGACTGATTCTGTATATTATATATATTTATTGAGAATTCTTATTTTGTTGATCACTATCGACATTGATGACGAATCATTGATTAGAAAATCTCTTGTCTATTTGTACGTATGTGCACGCATCACGTAAAAACTACTGGACCGATTCTCTTGAAATTTCGCACGCAGCTTTCAACGAATTTTTTGAGTTTAGTACTAAAATTTGTTATTGAAGAATACTAATGAAAATCGGATTAAAGATATATAGATCGGATCGGATTAAAGATATATAGATATTAGTAAAGGAAAATAAATGTTGGCAAATATACCTGATTAATATTTCGGTATGAATATTAGGCAAAATCAAGCTTATGACAAGCGTTTTGCGCAGCTATAAATTAATATGATTACCTAGTATGCTAAATGACCCATTAAGAACCCAAGTATTTTTTGACATTCCATTTATTGTTTTTTCCTCAAGCTTTATCGTCTACTTAGCGTACAGGTAACATTATATTATAATAGCTTCTGGTAGGTAATGATTGTACCAATAACTGTATGAGGAAAAATTTTAGCGTGACAGGAAAGTGGACGTAATAAAGCTTTTGTTTATATTCATGCTCCGTATTCATAAACGAAACATGTGAAATTACCAAGAATTTTTAAAAAATTTTGTTTTTATTTGGATTAAATAAAAATATTCGGATACAAAAAATCATTATCCGTACAAACTCATTTAAACAATAATTCATCATCCTGAACTTCATCATCAACTAGTAGCCCGTAACATAAGTCTCTCCCGTTTTAGAAAGGATTTGCCTTAAGATGGTTGTGAAGCTGTTAACTTTTATATAAAAACCATGACGTTTTCCCCCCGTAAACATTGTCTAAATTTCAAAGTTTTTGGAAATTTTGTAGATACAATGCGAAGCTAGGTTCGTATATTTTTATTTTTAGGAAATATTGCGTATGATATAAGTTATTAACATCTAAATATCTATATTTTTGGCGTAAAAACTTCCCAGAACATTTTTATGTTTTTAATTGAACCAAAAAAGAACAACGTACAGACTAGATTAAGGTATAGGTACTGAATACGAGACCAAAATTGTCTCATTTCGTAATGTTTTAGGAGAATGAAAACGTTATCGCCCGAAACAATATTTCAAAAAGGAAATGTAGGCAATTGCCTGCAAGATTTTCAACTCTCTCTATCGCACGATACGGCGATACGAAGCGAGCGGTATGAAACAGACAGTATTTTTGAAAATACCTACTCACGCCGCGTCGGCACTTCACCATCCTCATAACCGCCAGGATTGGCAAGCGGATTATCGATGCCTCTATCAGACAACTCGCACCTGTGGCGCTGCTCTCTGTCACCGGGAGTATTTTACGTCTGACGTAACTTAAATGGTTATAGCGCCATCTATCGGATACTTTGAGATATTTTATCATTTTCAATAGTTGCCTTTTACGACACTCACGAAAGCAAATAGGGTGTCTTACGTGGCTATCATTGAACTAAATTACATTATAACATTAGTATCTAGATTTTGCGAATTAAATTAATATATTTTAATTTTAAAGAAAATTCACTCTATTTATATATTTTATTTTAAAGAAAATTCACTCTACAATAGGGAATAAAATGTTAGCAAAAAACTCGGCGATTCTATATTGAATTCATTGAACATTACGTAACATATAAGGTAAAAGATAAATTCGTTATTTGTTACATTTTATTGTTATGGTAGTCACCCCAGAGGACTGGCCAAAATCTGCGTAATGAAGGCTATCAGTGCACTAATAAAGGGTTTAACGACTATTTTACATAATCCGCATGCTCGTTGCTAATTCGACGGACATTGTTTCCGAGTATATTACTCTATGGACATTGTGCAACAATTTATAGGTAGTCTGTACGTACGTGTACTTACTAGCTTAAATGATATTATAGGATTATGAGTGATCGAGTAACTAGATGATTTGTGAGATTGATATTATCAATGAATCATCTGTGAATTTTAATTAAATACGTGTAATCTCTATATATAAAAATCAATTGCTGTCGGTTAGTGTCGCTAAAACTAAAAAACGGCTCGACCGATGAAATTTGTTGTCTCTGAGTGGGTTGATGGAAGGTTGTACAAAAATCACCCAGGTTGGATCACTATTTTATAATAATTTATCACCAGTCTTTTAATGTTTAGAAATTAGCACTAGGATATTGATGGATAAAGTAAGAAGTAACAAATGTTATGGTAAAGGTAATGTAGAAAATCTGGTAAAACAATGTTTAACTGTTTATTCTTATTTTCTCCTTCATTTCTCCTTCAGCTTTTTTGTAATTTATAACTTTACATATATGTAGGTCTTTTTTGTTTATTTTTTATTTGCCAAGAAGGAATAATAATGTCGTACAGACCGATTCCGGTCACGGCTGCCAGTCTAAACGGAGATCTGTTTCGGTCTTGTCGGAAATCAGACCTGTGCTGGATATTATTAGGTATAGTCCGAGAGAATGCGCAAACACGGGTACACTCTCTTTTTTCCCACTCTTATGGTCAGATGGATGGTAATATGATAGAGAGAAATAAGGCACAGGAATAACGGCTTTAAGAACTGCTCGAGGCATGGCGGCTACTGAGAACTTCTTGACATAAAAACCCAATAACAAGTTTTTAGCTCCACTCGGGATTTAATATGATTACCACCCGCGTTTTCGATCACAAGACCAACGAGGCTGTCAAGCAAAGCTCATAAATATATACTTTGAAAGAAATGCTGACAATCACCCCGCTGGGTTCGTAACCACAGATCTGATATTTTCGAATGTGGAATTAATTACTTGTCACTATTCTGGGGGACTTAGGTCCAGCATTTCGAAATGTATACCAGCGGTGTATGCATCAACATAACCTCTTTCGTTTGTTTCCAGGGAGTAACGTTTATACGTGGTATAACCGTGCTGCAGCTATATTAGTAGTACAGTTGTAGCACGAATGGGTCGACTCGACCGGGGAAAGACCACGCTCTCACAGAATACCAGTGTAAAATAGCAGCTTAACGTTGCCGTGTTTCGTATGGTGAGTGTAGAGATACGGAGACCCTTTTTACTGGAAACGAGGCATTCCATCTTAGTCCTCACTGGTGGCAACGCATTTGCTTTTTTAATCGATGATAAATACAGATGTCTATGGGCCACAGCAACCACTTACCATCAGGTGGACTGTGTGCTTGTTGTCACCCTTATCCTATGAAAGAGACGAATGCATTCGGCAACAATCTATACATCCTCCTTCCTTTATCATCCTCTCCCGATGTAGAACTAATTTGATTTAGTCGTCACGCTTGGAAGGAATGACGTTCACAGTTCTAGATTTCTCACGCCTTTGGTGCCGCTGCCTGTCCATTTAACGTCTCGTCTATTTTATGACGTAAACTAGATGGTAACATTGTCATGTATCAGAAGCCATAAGATCTTTTGGCATTTTGATGAAATGAATGATAGAAAGAAGGAGAGAAGGAAAGAAAAAAGGAAAGAAATTTACTCCTCAGAATTTCGAAATGCCGTCTTAGTCGAGACCTTATATCGTGAGTCACGAACGACCAGACACTGGTGTAA